GAAGGATGGTTGCTATTTTGAGCCTAAATTGATTCTCTTGGTCATCTTGTGAGGCCATTCAGAACAAGTTTAATTTCCTGACTCGGGTGATTCTTTTTCTCTCTTGCCTTCCTTTCTCTGATATTTTGGAGTGACTGTCACTTCCTTCAACTGTTGGTCATATGATTAGATTCTGGGATCCTCTGCAGTCTTGTCTCCTCTTTGAGTCTCAGAAAGTTGACTCAAGGGCTGGAGAGATTGCTCAGTGGTTAAGAGCTCTGACTGCTCTTCCAGAGGTCCTGAGTTCAATTCCCAGCAACCACATGGTGGCTCACAACCATCTGTAATGGGATCTGATGCCCTTTTCTGGTGTGACAGTGACAGTATACTCATAAATAACTAAATAAAATAGAATGATTTAAAGAAAGTTGATTCAAGATCTAATATAAACCCTGAGCGGGTATGGTGGTGCAGACCTTTAAATCCCAGCACTTGGGAGGCAGAGGAAGGGGGATCTCTTGAGTTAGAGGCCAGCCTGGTCTAAATAGCAAGTTCTGGGACAGCCAGGGCTACACAGAGAAACCCTGTCTCAAACAAACAAACAAACAAACACAAAAACAAAAAAAAAAAGATTAACTATAAACCTTAAGGTTTCCATGACTACCTTGGGAGAGTAGGATTCTCACATCTCCTGTTCTCCCCTCTGTATATCCTGCTCAATGCAACTGTACCATCCCTTTGTATTCATTCACCAGAGGCGGGATGTGAGGTGTGAGCCAGGGAGCTCCGCCCACACAGTGACATTTGTAGCAGCCTCTGCTGAGATATGTAAATACAATCACAGTCTTGGGCCTTCATACTTGCTGAGTAGGAAACTCTAGAGAAGTACTGTAAATCTACATATTAAGAAAACATGACAGTGGCTTCTTTATTTCCTATCTACTCATTTATTTAGAGGCTGGGTCTCACAATGTAACACCAGCTATCCTGGAACTCACTGTGTAGACCAGGCTGGCCCTTTACAGAAGATCCTCTGGCTTGTTCCTCCTGAGTGCTGAGATTTAAGGTGTGTGTCACCATGCCTGGCTTGACTCCTTTCTTTTCATGGTTCCTCATGTATTATATATGTTTGTGTGTGTATGTGTGCGTGTGTGCTCATACATATATGTATATGTATGTATACAGGAGGCAGGAGGTCAATGTGAGGTATCCTTTTACAATTATTCTTTACCTTATTTTTTGAGACCAGGTCTCTCACTGAAGGTGGAATGCAGCACTTCCAATAGTTTACACTAGCCAGCAACCTCCAGAGATCCCCTTCTGGCTGCCTTCCCGATGCTGTGGTCACAGGTTTGTGACACTGAGCCTGGCTTTTTATATGCGTGCTGGGGATCCAAACTCAGGTCCTCATGTTTGTATGACTAGCACTTTGTCAACCGAGCCACCTCCCCAGCATCCCTGATTGGTTCTTAAGTCCACCAAGAGTTTGAAAATAGAAACAGTTCAAGACTTTGCCCATGCTTGTTGCCAACTTTCCCCAACTCGTTGCCTATGTTTTATCGAAGTGAATTTTTAGTTAGTGGCTATTTAATTCTTTTGTTGTGCTACAGGTACCACCCAGGGCCTTACACCCACAGGCAAGCACTCCACCATTAGCAGAGCCAGACCTTCCATGAATGAACCAGTAAATTCGAGACCATGCTACATTTGACCTGGTAGGATTTTGTATACTGCTCTGTCTTATCAATCAAAAAGATATCTTAATTCTGGAGCAAGATTTCATGACTACTACACAGGGATCAAGAAGAAAATGAAACAAAACTTTTTTTTTTTTTTTTGATTTTTCAAGACAGGATTTCTCTGTACAGCCCTGGCTGTCCTGGAACTCACTCTGTAGACCAGGCTGGCTAGAACTCAGAAATCTGGCTATCTCTGCCTCCCAAGTGCTGGGACCAAAGGTGTGAGCCACCACTGCCCGGCTGAAACAAAACCTTAATGACGCAATAGTACCAGTCTCTTCTATGTTGATACAATGATAAGAAATGGTGACACACAACCCCACAATTAGTCTTTTCCCCCTCTGATAAAGGATACATCAGCATGCACAGGATTAACTGATCCTTTGTCTTCTGCTTCCCCTATCTCCTGGGTTGAACTATTGTTCAAAAAATCCATTTGTACATGCATTCCAGAGCTTGGGCTCAGGCAATGGGTTGTGACTGTGAGCCTCTGTGGGCACACAGGTGGTAGGAGCATTGTCTTGTCGTTATCCACCTATTGACACTCTAGCTATCAAAGTCCCCAGGCATCCTTAAATGCTTCACAGTAACTAACATAGCAATTTTCCTTTAAAAGGTTGAAATAGCATCAGATGAATAATTATATTTTTTATTCCTCCTAACTTTCTCTTTCTTTCTTCCTTCCTCTCTCTCTCTTTCTTTCTTTCTTTCTTTCTTTCTTTCTTTCTTTCTTTCTTTCTTCCCTTTTCCATATTAGAGGTGAACAGATTCTGCTGTGGGCCAAGTAATTAAAAAAATATATATTTATTATATGCTGGGCATAGTGGTGCATGCCTTTAATCCCAGCACTTGGGAGGCAGAGGAAGGAGAATCTCAGTAATTCCAAGAATCCTGTGTTTTTAGGAGGACAGATCAAAAAATTCTCTGGGACTTCTCTTAGTCACCATTCATATAAATGAACTCAGTAAATTAAAGGTAATCCTTGACTCGAGGAATGAAGAGAACCTTAGGAAGGCATAGTAGGATTCATAGAGTTTGCCTGCCAGCCAGCCTCACTGAAAAACAGTAAGTTTTGGGTTTATTGAGAGACTCTGTCTTAAGAAAATATGGCCCAGAATGATAGACGAGGGCACCTAACACCCCCCCCACCACCACCACCATCTTATGTCTATCCCTTCATGGGTATACACACACACACACGATAAAAATTTTAAATAAAATCATCATGTTTATGGTTATTTGTTTCTTTGATCATTGTACTTATGAAGCAAAAGGTGCCCTGGGCTTGGGGAATCTTTTTAAGTGTATGCACACATACACAGGAACACACACACAACTCATCTGAACACACAGATGTGTCCTTTGTAGTGTCTGGTACAGTGCTATCATAAATTCAATAAATGTGTATAGAAAAACTGAATTCAGGGAAGATGAGCGAGAGGAAGGGTACAAAGGAGGCTCAAGCTCCCCCCCCCCAGGTTGACAGCAGTGTCAAGCGCTTTATGAAGGACGTTAGTAGCAGGCTTCTGTTGGCACAGGCCTGCCATATCAGGACTCATGAGGGAGGACCACAAGCTGGATGCCAGCCTGGACCACTAAAATTCTGCTTCAAGAAAGATACTGGCCAGTTCTCCTGGAGAACCCACCTTATGGAGACATACAAAGGAGCTGGCAAAGGCCTCCAGAGGCACAGGACTGGCTCTTGACACTCCTGTTGGTGGAACCCCAGGGAATCCCTCGTTCTTGGATCAGTAAGTGATGTACCTTTCTGGAAGGCCAACACTCAGTGCCACATGGGCCACAGTTTTGCAGGGCCAGCCAACCCCAGCCTGAAGGAGGCTGTGCCAGAACACTCCCAGGATCCTAGGCACTGGGCCTTGTTGAGTGCCATCATTCTAACTAGTCACGTTGGAGACCCTGCACCATGCTCTCACAGCTTCTGTTGATTATTCATGATAATCCAGAATAATCAGCCTTAGTTTTGGTGACTTGCTTCCATTTATTCACTGATCCTCATTGCTCAGAGGAGCTTGCAAATTCATGGCCTCATCCCAAGACGATGGCGAGCAGCTTTGGAAAACATTGCTTCATTTTCAAAACACTGTCCAATGGCCATAGAGATAGATGGCTGTAGCCAAAAATGCTATGAACACCCGAGAGGACTTCTCAAGATGCCAGATCACGACACTGACGGTGCAGCTCTGTTCTACTTTCCTCTCATCACAGCAAACCAATCCATCCAGTCTTTAAGACATTCAGCACGCGTCCTTCACCCTTAACCATTCACAGGATGATTCTGTCCCGATGGAAGCTATTCAAACAGAGGATGTTGAGGCTTATCGGTGACCATGAGTGTGCCGTAGACTGAGATCAGAGTCAAGAAATACTTGAAGAATGTGTCTTTTATAAGACAGGTTTTCACGTAATCCAGACTTGTCTTAAACTCTCTATGCAGCTAAGCATGATTTTGATTTTTTCCATTCCTGCTTTTACTTCCTGGGTATAAGGATTACGATTACAGTCATGGGGCACCATGTCTGGTATAGGTGGTGGTGGTAATTTGAACCCAGACTTTCTGGCATGATAGGTAGGTACCACATCTCATTCATATATGTGTGTGTGTGTGTGTGTGTGTGTGTGTATTCCTCAACCCCAGAAAGTATTATATAGATAGATAAGTCTGAATTAAGGAAACTAATGTCCAAATGAGAAAGGGAAGGCACTTAGCAGTGTGTCTGAGGACAGAGACTAGGGGAATGATACAACCTAGCTACAACCCAGTGTTTAGATCCATTTCTGTGATACTGTGTATTGATTGAAAAAGCATCACACACACACACACACACACACACACACACACACACGATGAAGTTTTGTATCACATAGCATAGCCCCAGCTGTCTGAAGTAACCATCAGTCCTACTAAAACAATAGTGCCTTTAAATTTAGAGCAGGCGAGTCTGGGCCAGACTCATCCCAGCCCCCAGTACGACCGTCCCCCTCCCCCCAGAAAACAGAGTATTGTTTCCATCCAGTCTTGTGCTGAAAGGAAGCCTCTCATCTGGCAATGACCTTGTGAGACAACTTTGGGGAGAGCAAAGAGCAGAGAAGAGAAAGACCCTGTTCTCAATGAAAACAGGAAAAGTAAAGAGAAAAAAACAAGCTGTCTCTCCACAAGGTTTTTCTGGGCTGACCGTGAACGGTTCCGGTACATTCCATCAAATGGAATGCCTTCATAGAGTCAAGCCAAGCGCGAACACTGTGTCTGGGACTCCCACTCCAGGGACACACACATGGGCTAACAGCGCGCACACGCTTCTGCGCTCGCACACCCTGGGAGAGCACTTATATAGCCTCCATAAGGCTAAGTAATAAACACTTTGTCTTCACCCTGCTATTTATGGGTTGCTTGGGGCATCCTGTTCTCTCCACTGCCTTTACCTGAACAGACGGCTCCTGCAGACTGGGAGTTTAATGGGGACAACAGTAAATCTGTGAGGCTTTGTGTACCCTCCCGTTCCTGCTTCCCTGACCACCCCGCTCTTTGCAGAGAAAGGCTGATCCACAACCATCCACTTAGTCTCAGGCTCCCTTCCTGCAGGTTAAAGCCCTTTTCCTTTGTCCCTGGGCCCTTGTCTTCTTCCTTCCTTTCAGACATCTCTCTAGGACATCTCTCTAAGATATCCCTTTCTATTTTGCCTCTCCCAGGCATCTCCTTTTCGGAGGCAGCGATGAAACAAACAACTCTGCCGGCAACAAGACCAGCTCAGAGAGCTCCCAGCTGGCGGCTCTCACCCCAAAGGCTCTTGGGAAATGGCATGCAGGCGCACACACAAAATCAAGGAGATGATCCGGCCTACCTGGCACTCACTTTCAAGTTCACTCAAAGGCCTTGTGCTTCCCTTTGCCCACAGTGACTGAGTTACCAGGAGGGACAGATGTTCGTTTGGAAGCCAGATGTGTCCCCCAGACAACGGATGTCAGACAGTTGGAGAAGAAGATGCTCAATGGATGCGGAACCACAGCTGATCGATCACCTTGGCCAGTTTGGGGAGGTGGGAGCTTTGCGCTCAGCTTCCTCTGGGGATTCTCAGGGCTTTCCAGGTTGACAGGTCCCCTGAGGAGATGGAGTCACAGTCGCACCCTGACACCCCGCAGGCCATCGCACCAGCATGGAGCCCCGACATCTCTCAGCCGCACCGTCATCTTGGGACAAGTGGTTGGCTGTCTCTTGAAAACAGACCAGACAGAAAAGGGTACGTTAACTTAGCCTCTCCCCACCGAACACAGTTCGCCATTGCAGTTCCGGTTATCTCACTGTAATGCCCTCCTGGCGGCGTTCCCAGGAAAATTCTAACTAATCATAAAAATAGAAAGAAAAACGCAACCTAAATTCCATTCCTCGTCTTAAATGAGTGATGTGTTCACTTTTATTTATTTTTCTGGAAGCGAGGCGGGAAAAGAAAATGAATTTCAGGGCTTAGAAAAACAAGCTACTAACAGGACTAAGTATAGCTGAGCAGTGGTGCAGACAGCTCTGGGCTGGCAGACGGAGCGGGCATAGCCTAGGTGCATCCTGGCTGCAAATTTAAGAGTATAATCCTGGAACACCTGGCGGCGCATTGCCAACACAGGGTAGAAGATGGATAGAGATGTGGAGCTGAATGCAGACACACATGTGCACCTGAGGACACACAAACACAGGTACATATCACACATGTTAAATACTCTTATTGCACTAGTGGGTAAGTGCCTGTCCAATCCTCCTGATGACCTCTGACCTTCTCCCTGGACTAGTCTTTCTGGATGCATGGAATGATTTCTATGTCAACTTTTTTTTTAATATATATTTTATTTATTTACATTTCCGATGTTAATCCCCTTTCCCTACCCCACCCTACCCCCAAACCCCTATCCCTTCCCCTCCACCTTTTTTCCTTTTATACCATTCTAATTACATACAAAGTATTAAGGTCAGTTCTAGGTTGAGGAACTAGTAATACAATAGATGCAAATAGTCAAGGAACAAGCAAGACAATAAACATAGATAGTCAAAGAACAAGCAAGGCAATAAACAAAGTCACTCTCATGAGTGATCAATGCTTCTAAGGGCTTATCAGGATGACCAAAATATCTGAGCCTACTTTCCTGTCCTAGCCCAAAGTCATTTTCACGCCTGAAGCCTACTTCTTTGCTCTAGCCTAAGATTTAGATTCCTGCCTGAAATTACTCTATGTCAACTTCTTGAGACCCTTTTAGAGATCAAACAAGGGGTATCTCAGTTGGTAGAGCTTCTGCCTAGCACACACACAGCCCCAGGTTCAACCCCAAATATAGCATAAACAGGTGTAAGGGCATGTGTCCGTAACCCCAGCACTCAGCGGGTAGAGAAAGATGGATTGGAAGTTCTAGGTCACCTTTGGCTACATAGCAATAGTAAGTTTGGTGCTAGCTTGGAATACATAAGATTCCATCTCAGAAAAGACAGAACAAATAGAAGCTTGCTCTAAGAACTCATAACCCAACTCCAGGCCAAGGGTGGACATTCTAAACTGGTCCTTCATCAGAGCCGAGTGACTGTAATTGATGCAAAATTGCATCGTTGGTTACCTTGGTTACCTTGCTCATTCTGACACCTCGTTTGTATCATACTAACTGTTCAACAAAATATCTGCTGAGAAGGAGGTTGATGGTCTGCCCACCATCATAGTACATGACGTGATTGATGTCAGCAGGACCCAGGCTTACCAGCAGCCAAGAGCTGTGCTGTGAGGTCACAGCTGGGGGCGACAAGGCTGAGGAGCTCCTCCCTGACAATGTTTTCTCCTTCTCTATAAGAAGTATTTGCTGCCGGGCAGTGGTGTCGCACGCCTTTAATCCCAGCGCTTGGGAGGCAGAGGCAGGTGAATTTCTGAGTTCGAGGCCAGCCTGGTCTACAGAGTGAGTTCCAGGACAGCCAGAGCTACACAGAGAGACCCTGTCTCGAAAAAAACCAAAAAAAAAAAAAAAAAAAAAAGAAAAAGAAAAAAGAAAAAAGAAAAGAAAGAAAGAAAAAAAAAGAAGTATTTGCAAGATACACCACAGGAAGGTTCAAAAATCCCCAAACCCGGCTTCCGATGCCGCCTCTGCTAATGTTCACGGATGAAAAAGAAAGTCAAAGACACTCCCACACGCTGCCTCCCTCTCTCAGAACCATTAGCATCCCCCCCCCATCATAGCTCCAGCCCTGGAAATGGGCACTGCTACTTGATAGCCAAGTTCTAGCTGGGCTAATTAAGCATACTGAGCTAATAACCTTCCATTTTGGGACCAGTATTATTCATAATTTAATGTATTGTTGCTGAAACATCAACCTTTCGACAACTGGCACATTGCCCACGGCAGCCCGAGTGCTGACCATCTTTCAGTAAAATGAGTATTATTGTTAAAACAGGCATAAATCATTCATGGTTGCAGCTTTTGTGTTAGAACCCTACGTGAAAATAAGCAGTAAGCCGGGTAATTTATTTACCTTTTGGTGATTATTTTTTATGATTTTATGATCATATTCAATGATTCATAAATATTGGCCAGGTGCCATTTCATAATCATTTTATATTTTTAACGATTGGCGAAAGCGGTTCTGTTTTTCATCTTTAAAATTTTCAGGATTGATATTCCTCAGCAACTTAATCCAGACACCAAGGCAATTTTATTGGACCGAAGGGGGTGGGGAATAACAAAGTGTCCAGGCCCCTTCATTTGAACAAACCCCTTTCAACAGAGCCATTTGGAGTGTCCAACTTGTTATATAACACTGCACTCGGGGCGACAAAGTTTCTTTGAAGTTTAACACACAGAGGGGGCCTCGAAATTGGAATAAGAGCCCAGGAAAAACAGTTAACAAGCTCCTGGTTGGGACGATGACGGGAAGGGGCTGTAGCGCAGGAGGAGGCCTGGAGATGTTGGCCCTTAGCCAAGAAGGTTGGATTGACTCTAGCCCTACTCCCAGCACCTGGTTGGGGAATGTGATTACAGTCCCCTGCGGATCTGGAAACTTCTTTATTGCCCTCCTGCCTGCCTGCTTCTGCTGCCTGTGTCAGCTTTGGGCTCCCCAAAACGGTTCCAGAAAAGTAGACTTCACCCCCGGCCCCCCATGACAGCAAGCAGGAACTGGGTGCTGAGGATTGGATGGGTCTCGGAAGACCCTCATCTTTTGACAGTCTTCCACTATCCTTTTCCTTTCCTTTCCTAAAACAATGAACACAGAGCTTCTGGTAAGCAGTAAGGAGCAGAAGCCAGAGACAGGATGGTGGGAGGAGTCAGGCTGGAAAAGGTAGAAAATGTGACATCGCATTAAAATGCTTCCTAAAGGCAGGAGCAAGGTCTGCAATTGAACTTGCCTTTAGAAGCTCATCCCCTGTCAGCTGTGTTGGCCCAGAGGGGTGTCAGCCAAACAAAGCTGGCACCTTTGCCCCAAACATTGATGATGAGATCTCAAAACACAGCCATGAGTCTGTGTTATCAACAGACTGCCACATCTATAGAGGAACTCAAGCAGGTAGAGAGGAACAGGTTATCATGCCTTTTGGAGTGCTTGGGACCCAGAAGCCCCAGGGACTGCTGGGGTTTTTGTTTGTTTTTCTTTTTCTACCTTCTCTCACCCCACTTCCAGCTTTCACAATCCTTTTCAACGGCATTCTGGTTTTAAGCTTTTCCTGGCCAACTTTGAGGGATTGGCCCTCTCCTCTTTTGTTTGAGGCAGGAGCTCTCTTGGTTCTGCTTCTAGGACACATACTTCAGACTAGCTGGCCTGCAAGCTTCTGACTGGTTCTCCTGTCTCTGCAGAATCCCAGCTTGTCAGAGGATTGCTGGGATTACAGATGCGCACGGCTGCAGCTGGGGTTTTACCTGGGCTCCAGGGATGAAACTGGTCACCAGGCTTGTCCTAACACTTTACCTGCTAAGCCATCTCTTTGGCCTCTCATATTAGTGACTTTTAAGTGTGGACTTCCAGGTCATTAATCACATCCATGACGCTAGGCAACTGTTACTATATTCTATTTCTAAAGTTTTTTCATCACCATAAACAGAAACTCTGTCTTCATTAAGCAATCCATCCCTCCTGCCTCCTCTTCTACCTCAGCCCCTGTCCCTGGAAACCTCTAATCCACTTTCTCTCTACAGATTTGTTCTTCTTGACAGCTCCTCTAAACGATATTGTACAATATTTTTCCTATTGCGCCTGGCATGTTTTGCTGAGTTTAATGTTTTCAAGGGTTTATCCTTGTTAGAGCATGTAAGGGAACTAATTCTTTTTTATGCTAATTAATGTCCCAGTGTATGTATGTATATGTGTATACACACACACACACTTTGATTTTGTTTATCCATTCATTAATTGTGGGCACTTGGGCTGTTTCTATGATTTAGCTATTGCAATATTGCAGCTATGAACATAAATGTACAAGTATCTCAAATCTATCTATCTATCTGTCTGTCTGTCTGTCTGTCTGTCTGTCTGTCTGTCTGTCTGTGTCTGTGGTATGCATGTGTGTATATGTGTTCACATGCATGGGTATATGAATGGGGAGTGAATGTAGACACATGTGCATGTGTGTGGAGCCTGCATCTGATGTTGGGTGTCTTCCTTGATGGCTCTTCACCGTATATACTGAGGCAGGGTCTCCTGCTGAGCCTGAAGCTCTGAGGATCCCCTCCCTGTCTCTAGCGCCTACATAATGAAATTACAGTCAGGCTCCCATGGCCTCCTGGCTTTTACTTGAGTTCTAGATATCTTAAACTCCAGTCCTACTGAGCCATAGAGATGGAGATGGAGATAGAGAGGTAGGTGAGTAGGTAGATAGAAAGATAGATAGATAGATAGATAGATAGATAGATAGATAGATAGATAGAAGGCAGGCAGGCAGGCAGAACATAGCCTCATTATGTAGCCCTGGTTGTCCTGGAGCTCTCTATGTAGACCAGGCTGGCCTCAAACTCACAGAGATCCTTCAGCCTCTGCCCCCTGAGTACTAAGATTGAAGGCATTCACTGTAACACTTCATCTCTTACTACATTTTGACCCTTACTTTTTTTTTTTTTTCTTTACAAGGCCACTCACTGTACACTCTATACTCTGAGCTACCTTGATCTTGGATGTTTTGCTGGCTTGCTTAGCAGGTCTGACCTGGACATGAGTTGCAAAGCCATGTTTGCCTGGGAATCCTTCTCCAGCCCTTCTGTTGTAGAATGGCTTTGGGGTGGGGCTTGGGGGCTGTTCCAGCCACCCCTGAGCATTGCTAAGGCCAGTACCGGTTGTGAATTCTGCATCAGTAACTTGCTCTTTCAACATGAGGCTTGATCAAACAGGCTGTTTCTCAGGTAAAAGCCAAGGAGCAAATTAAGAGACAGCATAACCTGGGATGAGTGAAATTCCCTTTCAAATCATGTCAGCTAGAGCAGATGTTGTCACGAAATTTGATGTTATGGATTTATTTCCTCATACAAAGTCTGAAAGGGAAAATAGCGTAAGAGATGAAATACGAATTGGACATGTCTATAGAGTGTGAATTGGATTCAAGACAAAATATTGTGAATGGTTAATAGGGTCAGTCTAAGTATACTTGTTGAAATAATCTCTTGGATATGCAAATGCTCCAAGAACCACACTGTCAAATATCTATTGTGCCCTCTTATCTGTATGTTCACAGAGCTCCTACGTGTAATAACAAACGAAAACTGTAGCTCGGAAAAATAATGTCACCCTAAAATAATACTTCTCTTTGAATAGTAATCTTTTTGTTGTCAGAGGTTTTTTTTTTTTTTTTAATTTTATTTCATGTTTGACGCACACTAGCCTGCCGAGTTCTTAACACAGCAGTCTGAAGATATCTGAGAGGGGATCATAGATACGGATGGAGGTAGGAAGGGACAAAGGCAGGTTACAACCCAGGATGTGCAACTCGTCCTGGGTTATACAGTCTGCCATTAGCCCCTGGGAGGCCTGGGTATGTTCCCCCTGAGGAACTCTTTCTGACTGAAGGCCTCCCTTAGTAGAATTCCCTTCCTTGGAGAGATACTATCCTAAAGACTTGAGAAGCGTGATACGTTCACCACCTCACCACACCGATCAGCCCATTAAACACGGGGAGGGACCAAGGAGACTTCAGATGCTTTCGTGGAAGCCAAAGGATTCACTGATGACAATTTCCAGGGTGCCAGGACCTGACTGATCACTAAAGCCATATAGCCGGATTGGGTTGGTTTTCCTTCCCTAGCTCTCCCTCATTTCTGAGACCTGGGCTACTGAGAAGGGAAGGGAAGGGATGGATGAAGCAGAGACAGGGGGACAGTAGATAGATGACCCCCAACATACCACTCACATTCTAGAACAGTCTATAACCCTAAAATGTAGCTACTAAAATGGATTCCTAATGAATGAATCAGTATCAGAATTGACATAAACTGACTGATGGGTGTGATTCCCCCTGCCCTCACACTGTAGTCTAGATTAACTGCGTGGGAAAGTGGCAGAATTTGCTCAAAAAAGCAGCAGCAAATGGGAGCGTGCGAAACAATCCTTTTACCTCACACAATTAAGATCACCCCTCAATTTTCCCAATTACAGATTGGGATTAACGCCTAGAATCCTCTATAACTAGGACTCTGAAGGTAAGACATCTGGAAACAGCTGGTGCCCGGCACCTGCCCTTTGCTCTGTATGATGTCATTCCTTGGTCCTTGTGACATTTCTCACTTCCACGTATTTTCTCTGCCCAACGCAACCCATCGATCCTGAATCTATTCCCCAGCTATGAGATTCCTTGCTACTTGTGGCTTCTCTTGGCTACATAGTTCTGCTCTATCTTCCTTCCACCTTTTCTTCCTCCATCCTTCCCCTTCCCTTCCTCTACTCTCTAAGCCTCCAGCCCCATCTTTCCCTTCCACTGCCCAGTCATAGACTCCAGCCTTTATTTGACCAGTTAGAATGGGGAGAGGGTCCACTCTGGAGGAAGCAGAATTAACATCAGAATACAAACAGCACCAGGGCAACCCCGGACATGTGACTCTGATAAGCAACATCCTATAAGGCTTTTCTTCTCTGTAGGTACATGGAGCAAAGAATGGTAAGAGTTAGAAGGTGGCAATTCTCTACACCATATGTTGACAGGAGAAAGAATCCAGGAAAAGTGGATTAATACGTCAGGAGCCTAGAATATAGGGTTGGTAGGTGGGCATTTTGTAATGTTCTAACAAAACTCTAACAGCCTTTCCTAAGGGTTATTTTAAAGTCACCAGAACTGCGTATATTGGAAAGTAATACGTTTGCTAATGGCCTACAACTTTTATTTCTACACTCTGACTTTGTGTGTAGGTATGGGTGCATATTAACATGGGTATGGGTATGTGTATGCAATATGTGTGTGTGCACATGGGTGCATATTCATGGTGTGTATATGTGTGTATATATATGTATATGAATATGTGAGTGTACGGGTGCATATTCGTGTGTGTGTGTATGAGTGTGTGTGTGTGTGTGAATGTATGAATGTGTGAATGTGTGTATCGGTACATGTATGCACATCTCACATATAAAGATCAACAACAACCTGGACTGTTTGTCCTCAGACTACCTTCCCCCTTTTGTTCAAGACGGTATCTCTCCTTGGCCTGGAATTTCAACAAGTAGACCAGGCTAGGTGGTCAAAAAGTACTAGGAATTCCCCAGTCTGTCTCTCATCTCATCAGCCCTAAGATATCAAGCACACATCGCCACACAGGGGTTTGAGTTTGGGGACCTGAACTCAGGTTGTCAGACTTCCTGCAGTTCATTTACCTGCTGAGCCATCTTACCAGCCAACTCTGTGTCATGTTTAGGTCACACTTAGAGACTAGTTTTTTGGTTTTGTTTGTTGGTGACATGCTGGGCAAATCTTTCTTTGTTATGAGGTCTCCCATACACACTGTAGTGACAGCTGTGGCCATTATCCACTAGGTAGCAGTGGCATCTAGAACACCTGCACCAATTTTGACAACAGCATAGTCTTTAGACGTCACCAAATAGTCTCAGGGAGCTAAAAATCTCCCCTAATTGGGAACCACTCTTGTAAGAAAACTCTACCTCTGAGCCATGTTGATAACCAAAATTTCTTCCACTTTCAGTTTCAGAGTTTCTTCATTGTTGTTGGTGACCCTGCTGCTCTGTGTCCTCCAGTCCAGGTTTTAATACCCGAATCTCAAGGGTCTCTCTGTGTAACAGCCCTGGCTGTCCTGGAACTCACTCTGTAGACCAGGCTGGCCTCAAACTCACAACCTCTGCTTTCTGAGTGCTGGGATTAAAGGTGTGCACCACCACCAGACTCAAATAACTTCTGCTTTTGTTAGCGGGCCTTGTCCAACATTGGTGGGGGGGGGAAAGGTCTATCAGCTTGAGTAGGTGAATTTCTTGACCACAGGCCTAGTGACAGATGAGTAGTGATGTTCGTATAGATTGTCTACCTTTCAAACTCAAGCACAGTTATCAATTCTCTCTTTGGTACTTATGCCTTTTAATTTATCTGCTTTTGCCGAGACTTAAGTCCACAAAACAGGACAATGCAAATCTGCCTTGGGCTAGCCTTAGGTAACAGCCCTAGCTCTATCACTTACTTATTGGAAGACTGGTGATCTTTTTAAACCTTACTATCATCTTTGTACACAGCAGCATAAAAAAAAAAACAAAAAAAAAACAACCAACCCTCCCTCATAGACTGCTCTCTAGGTCAAGGGAAAAATAACCCATAAGTACTTAAATACTTATAAAGTGCTTGAGGTGGTTCATAGCACATGGTAGATGCTCCAGACATAGTAGCCCCTGGGTCTTGGTGTTCCTCCATCTATATCCTTGTAGAGGTCTTCACTGGATCCCTGTTCTCTTGGATGGAGCTTTATAATCTTAGAATAAGAATGTCCCAGGTCCCCTGCTGTATCCTCTATTGCTGTTTACAGCGTTCCAAACTTGACTTGCCTCTTCTCTCCAACAAGACCTGTGACCTCAGACTCTAGGCTGTCCTAGCCCTTCCTTCCCTGCAGTGTCCCCTCCCCTTGGCAGCCCACACAACTGGACTTGTTGAGAATTAATTGCCTCCCCATTCATGATTCCATAGTGCTTTGAACCTCCCTCTGTACTGTACTTTTCGTATTGTATTACAGTTCGCTTGTTTTTGTATCTGAGCTTCTCTGTGAGTCCGTGAACTCTGCTCAGGGCGGAGACTAGGTCTCTTGCTTTTATTTCTGTTCGATCGCAAGGTCTAGAAAATTCTAAGAGTTCAATGAATGTTTTCAGGATTTTGTAAAGTAGTAGTCACCTTTTATGTGTGCCCCTCTCCACAAAGCCTTTTACACAGATAGTCTTTTTTGGAGCTTTGGCTCACACTAGGGTTATTCTGAAAGATACCAAGAGAATTTATGTAGAAGCCAAGGCCAGAAACTTAACCATTTGGTTCAGTTCTCAAGCAAACAGAAAGTTCCTGATTCCTCTTCTCAATCTCCTTGTCTCCTGGCTCCCTGTTTCTTGGGAACTATGGGTGTTGGATGTCATGGAAGAAGAAGAAATGGTTAGACCCACTAAGATAAAGTAACATTTTATATCAGGTTCTTAAGTGAACTCATCTTCACCTGGAGTGCTAAGAGGTCTTCAGAAGGGCAGATACTCAAAGGGAAAATGGGGAAGTGTGGTATGTTTAGTCTCTACACTGGAAATTGGATGCCACCTCTGGCTTCGAATATTTGGCCCCATTAGTCAGGAAAAGAGAATGCTATCCCCGACCCCATGCCCACCCCTGACACCTGCTCAGAGCTGTTTATAGGAATATTTGCCAGTGAAAGCAGGCTAGCTCATGGTTCATACATAGGCTCAGTGATCTGGTAGCATAGAGACAGGGGCTTGGGAGATAGGTTAGTGGTTAGGAGCACGTCCTGTTCTTAAGAGGTCCAGAGGTCAGTTCTCAGGACCCACTACAGTCTACAACTCCAGTTCCAGGGAGATTAGTACCTCCTTTTGACCTATACAGGCACTGCACATACATGTTGTTTTAGGGTTTCTGTTGCTGTGAAGAGACACTGTGACCACAGCAACTCTTACAAAGGAAACCTTTTAATTGGGACTGGCTTATAGTTTTAGAGGTTTAGTCTGTTATCAGCATGACAGCATGCAGACAGACATAGTGCTGGACAAGGAGCTAAGCGTTCTACATCTTGGTCCACAGGTAGCCGAAGGAACCTACTACACAAAGGCCTAGCTTGAGCTCAAAGGCTTCAGAAATCTCAAAGCCACCTCCACAGCAACATACCTCCTCCAACAAGGCCACATCTCCTCCAACAAGGCCACACCTCTTCCTAATAATGCTACTCCCTGTGGACCAGACATTTAAACACGTGAGTCTATGAAAGTCATTACTATTCAAACCACCCCACATGTATACAAGAAAAACATATCGCTATCATTTCTATCTCTATATCTAAATTACATATATATGAATATATATATATGAATCTAAAACATTAAAAATAAGTAAAAGCATGGAGACTGAAAGGACCTCTAGAGAAAAATGTGTGGGCTCTGTTGCCTTTAGGTTTAGACTCTGCATTCTCCTCGTGAACTAACATAGAACTCAGCTGTCACTTGCTTCCGGGAGCCTTCCTTGGCCACCGCGTCCTCCTCATGTCTGTCCTTCCACACAGCCTGTTGGAGTTTCAGTCTATTCCCTCATCATGTGCTTAAGCGACCAAGTGAAACTGTTTCCTTCATTTGACAGAGAACTCCCTGAAGGCAGGCACCTGCCAAAATGTCACTGGGCCACAGAATGAAGAGAACACTGGGCTACCTGTCTGTGCCTCCTCAACCGTTGGTTGTACTCTGTGACATGAACTCTAACTCCAATATATCCTGGGAGACTTTCTTTTTAGACAATGTCTTAGTTAGGGTTTTACTGCTGTGGACACCATGACCAAGGCAACTCTTATAAAAACAACATTTAATTGGGGCTGGCTTACAGGTTCCAAGCCTCAGTTCATCATCATCGAAGTGGGAGCATGGCGGCACCGAGGTAGGCATGGTGTAGGAGGAGCTGAGAGTTCTACGTCTTCATGTGAAGGATGCTAGGAGAAGACTGACTTCCAGGCAGCCAGGACAAGGGTATTAAAGCCCACACCCACAGTGACACACCTACTCCAACAAGGCCACACCTCCTAATAGTGCCACTCCCTGGGCTGAACATATATAAACCATCACAGAAAGTCTTTGTGATTTTTTTGTTAACTAAAAATACTACACACTGGGGCTGGAGATATGGCTCAGTGGTTAAGGACATTGGCTGCTCTTCCAGAGGACCCATGTCCTATTCCCAGCACCCACATGGCAGCTCACAACTGTCAGTAACTCCAGTTCTAGGAGATCCAATACCATCTCCTGGGCACCAGGCATGTAAGTTGTACACAAACATACACACTGTCAAAACACCCGTACATATAGACAACAGCAAAACAAACAAACCAAAACAAAACAAAACCCCCCAACCCCCCCCAAAAAAACCCCAAACAAAACAACGACATCAACAACAAATAGCACTTCACGTTTTCTAAGTCACGTTCTCACGGCTTACACCTATTAGACCCTTATGATCTTGATTTCCCTGGATCCAATCCTCTCAGGACTTCTTCATCCTTCCTCTTGCCCTTAAGCATACTGACTTACCATCTTCCCCCCAACCCCTGTGCTTTTTCTCCTCTTCTTGGGACACCAGGCTGAGTCATAACAGACAATCCCTTTTACCCCACCCTGAAGCCTCCCCAGGTCCCTTATCACCAAGCCTCAGCAAAAACCAGGCTCTCCTTTTGACGTTCCAATGGTTTCTGCCTTTTTTTCAGATATAGCATGATCTCAGTCGGGCTAAGGATCTTGTCTGACTCTTTTTCTTTCCTTTCCTTTCCTTTCCTTTCCTTTCCTTTCCTTTCCTTTCCTTTCCTTTCCTTTCCTTTCCTTTCCTTTCCTTTCCTTTCCTTTCCTTTCCTTTCCTTTCCTTTCCCTTTCTTTCTTTTTTTAACCAACTTGGTGCCAATGGTTACTGGACTAGTTAAGTTGTAAAATAAGGACCTGCAGAATTGAACATTTCTCTTAAAAAAAAAAAATCGAATGACACTGAAAGCTTTTACCATCTCTGAGAAGACTTCAGATGTGCCGTGGCGTTTGTAGGGCCGCAGGTTTTGGTCTCCAGGACTTTTGTTCCAGTAGGATGTGATACCAGGGTTAAGCAAGTTGGAAATGTACAAATTCTCCCTCTCTTCGGGCAAATGATCTTTAAAGGACATAAAAGGTTGAGCCGTGCGATGGCTGCCATGTCCCCATCCAATTTCACTCTCTTTATTGTACTCTTGGGTCTGGTTAAATCAGCTGACCCAGCTAAAGTGACATTTGCAGTTAAGATTTTGCAAAATGCAAAATCTTGCACAACAATAAGAAGAGTGTCTGTTGCAACTCTACAGCTTGGAAAATGTGGGGGCCAACTGGGCCTGGGTAATTCTGATGCTATTTCCAGGTCCTTGTCACTTGTCACAGAGTCCCCTAAAACATGAATCTACTGGTCGTTGACACTAATGTTGGTATGCTTCTGTAGGTTTGTTGTGTCTGCGTCCCAGGATATTGTCAAGTGACAATTATGTAACAATATTTGGTCTCTATGTGGGTGAGGAAAAAATGGCTCATGACACCCGTCTTCTTAGGCATTACTAGGTTTTGTTAATGATAGGCTTACCTTTCCAACTAACTCCTGGCAGGTTAATGAGTTACTGATAACAGTGTAAAAGTGGGTATTGAAATATTTCAAAAGATGATGCATTTCTTTTGTATTTATTTGTACCCAACTTTATGGACAAGGCGAAAGGCACTTCAGAGGTAGCCCATAGCAAAAAATGGACATTGAAGTGTAAAGCCTGGAACTCCAGGCAACAGATCCTGTCACAGATACACAATAGATGCTGACTTTACTAGAACAGCTTGGAATTTGCTATTGTCCTGCCTCGGCATCCTGAGTACTGGGATTATTAGGTATGTGTTGCTTTGCCTGGCTGGGACTCTGCCTCTTTATGTTTGAACCCCGTGCATGTGGCACAGGGCACACTTAAGCATGAGGATAATGAAGGAGAGGGAGGGAAAGAGAGGGATGAGGAGGTGTATATCAAGGAGAAACTGAAGCCTGGGTGTACACCCCCATCCTCCCTCTAGCTTCCCTCCTCAGACTACCCATGAGCATGTCTTTGAGGGCCTCCCTGGCTATCCTGGTCACACCAGTCCTGGAGAGCCTGGGTGCACTGGCTGCTGTCTTCTTTGCTGTGGTTAGAAGGGGGTTAAAGCTGAGGTTTCTAATCGCTCCCAGGAGGTCTTATTACCTGTTGATTAGGTCCTTTTGGGATCAGCATCAAACCCGACAACAATAACAAACACTCCCTTCATTGGAATTTAGTAATGACCCTGCCTGCCCTGCAGGCCTGGTGGCCATGGGGAGGGGACTGGCTATTATGGAGACTGGAAATGCAGGCCACAGAAGGGGATGGTTCCTTACAGCTGGTGTCGGCTCGGAGGTGCAGTTAACGAACTAGTTGGCAGGCACTGGTTTGGAGATATTTTTGGCTGCTCAGAAGCTTTTCCTGAACTTACAGCGCAAGGTACCTCAGGGAAGACCCTCCACAGCCCGCTGGGTAGCTCAAGAGATGGAGCTGGGTGGTCTTTCCACAGGCACTTAGGAGTTTCTGAAAATGGACTGCTAACTGTTTCATGTGTGTTTTTCCAGAAGGGTGTTTTTCCAGAAGGTTCTTTCTTTATATACAGATGTGAGTGGATGTGTGTGAAGGAATATGAGAGTGCACGTGTGAGTGTGTAAGTGTGTGTGTGAAAAGTGTATGTGTGAGAGAGAGAGTGGGTGTGGGTATGGTGTGTGTGTGTGAGTGTGTGGAAAAAGGTATGTGTGAGGTGTGTATGGGTGTGTAAGGGTGTGTGTGAGAGTGGTATGGGGGGATGTGAGTGTGTGTATGAGAAAAGTATGTGTGGGGTGTGTGTGTTGTGTGTGTGTGTGAGAGGGTGTGTGTGTGTGTGTATGTATGCATGTATGGTCGCTTAAATTTTCTACTGAAAAACACAGGCGGCCGGGCGGTGGTGGCGCACGCCTTTAATCCCAGCACTTGGGAGGCAGAGGCAGGTGGATTTCTGAGTTCGAGGCCAGCCTGGTCTACAGAGTGAGTTCCAGGACAGCCAGGGCTACACAGAGAAACCCTGTCTCGAAAAACCAAAAAAAAAAAAAAAACCCAACCAAACAAACAAACAAACAAAAAAACCACAGGCATATTTTTGATGCACCACGAGTTACAATGGGGCCTAAGAAATCTGTTGTAAGCTGAAAATATTGTAGGTCGACAGCAAATGTAATCTACAAACATCGTCTTCCCTCCCTCTCGGACTTTCTTTGCTTCCTGTCATCACATAGCCAGATCTGGGCTCACAGTCCTCTTGCCCACACTTCCCCTTCCCAAGGTCTAGAATTACAAATGTGTACTACTCTACTTAAACATCCTCAGAACACTCACACTAGCCCACTCTCAAGATCATCCAACACAGAGCCGATTTGGTAGTAAACTATTGCCTTTCTCATGCAAAGTACTGAGTATTGTACCGGAAGGGAGGACATGGTCGAGAGTGGTCATATGGGTACATGTTTGTGCCAATAAAAAAGAAGAAAATATTCCTCCAGTTGAATGGGACTGAAGTTGGAGAAATGGGTAAACATTTTGTTGGGTAAACTGCTCTTTTTCCTTCCCTGCCAATCTGTCTGCGGCATCTTTCCGTGGCATTAAGCATTTGCCTCAATCTGTCGGAGAGATTTAGAGTAATCCAGAATAAGAACAAAGCAAAATACATCGGACCATTGTCTTCTTGTAAAACATTCTGAACGCTGCCAATTTCTTGCTACTGCAAATAAAGCTGCAGAGTAACCTTGTGCGTTTTGTCTTTTCATGTACTTGTACAAGAATTTTTGTGGTTAAGTTATGTTTGAAAAAGTGATGCCTTTTCACATCCTGGAGTAGTCCCTGCATATGCCCTCTCCTTGGTCCCTGGAGAGTACAAATGTAAAGGGAATGTGTATGTGTGGCCCCGAATGACCATCCTTGGGATGGACAGGCCATCATCAGGACAGATTGTGCCACTGGCCAGCTCTGAGTTAGAGGGATCTGTTATTCTTTGAAGCTTTTAAGATTCAGGTTGAAAAAGTATGTGAGGCCGGGCGGTGGTGGCGCACGCCTTTAATCCCAGCACTCGGGAGGCAGAGGCAGGCGGATTTCTGAGTTCAAGGCCAGCCTGGTCTACAGAGTGAGTTCCAGGACAGCCA